CCACCCAACCCCTACCTACAGAGCAGTGTACCAGCCTGGTGGTCGCTTGAAGCAGGATGCGGAACCTTCTAGTCAATACATCGAACGACATCAATAAAACGCCAGTTGGCAGTCGTTCAGACCCCTCCCCCACCCACACTTTTGCGTTAACGCTTGAGGCCTACACACGCAAACCCGAACCCTCGTTTGGGGTTGTGCAAACTCTCAGGAATGCCAAACTCCGAAGCGCATATTTCAGCGTTTGTGGGAGTGTCATTAGTTCTCTTGGCTGTCTGTCCATCAGATGCCTTCATCCCGGTGCAATGTCTGCACAACGTCAGTGGAGCGGGCGGCAGCGGAGTCTGCTGTCCACGCTCCAGCCTTAACAACAAGATCTGTGGTGGAACCGGTCGTGGCAGCTGTCTAGGCCTCTATGACGCGAAGGAAGACCTCGATAACCCGGATCTCCTTGCAGACGATCGCATGCGCTGGCCCAGACGGTTCTTCAGTCAGCTCTGTCGCTGTGAGGGCAACTTCTTTGGGCTAGCCTGTGATGAATGCTGGTATGGTTGGACGGGACCGAACTGCGAACAACGGGAGACATTTGTTAGGCGCAATGTCTTGTCTTTCAGCCCGGAGGAACGTAACAAATTCATTTCCGTTGTAGCGGAAATGCCAAGTACTGGTACTGACCGGCTTATAATGCTCGAGAAGGACACGCTGCATTCAGATCCCCTCAATAACCCCATATTTATGCCCTCCAATCTGCAGTACCTAATTACTTTTATCCACGACTACACCAGCCGGGGTACTCTGCTGACTGACCCCGCTAAGTGTAAGCAGAGTGGATACCTAGACAATAACCACAACGTTGTTGGTTTTCTCACTTGGCACCGTTATCTCATGTTGACATGGGAGCGTGAACTCAGAAAAATTGCCACCCAGCGCTACAAGTGGTATGACTTTGCATTCCCCTACTGGGATTGGATAGATGCTAAGGAGTGTGAGGTGTGTACTAATAGCCTAGTTGGCGCACCTGGACCGTGGATCGGTGGAAAACGTCTCCTGCATCCTGGGAGCATATTCGCCAACTTTACAGAATACTGTTCCCTGCCGAAGCCGGGAAGGGATCGCTGTTTCGGGTGCCAAGTCAACTGGCCTGCTACTACTC